ACGCCCTGGTGGCCTCAGGATGGGTCAAATGCTGAAGATTCCCCTCAAGGACTTAGATCATCACCACTGTCTAAAAAGCCAGTGGGAGAAAAGTGCAAACATTCCTGGACATGGGTCATCCTGCTCCCTCTGCACCAGTGGCTCCTCAGTGTCTGTTATTATTAATGCATTTCTTTTGTTTTGAACAGTTTAAAGCAGCAGTCTGTAAACATGTGTCCAAAAGTGGTACTGCAGCCTCTCCCACTCTCCCTGACTCAGGTTGCCAGATATGCAGACGAATCCAGCTGGGACCATAACAGCTGAATAGACAAGAGTTTTGTCAACAACAAATCTATAACCAACACCTTTTTCACAAAGATAGAAATCCTGGTTTTATTCCTTGTTTTGTCGTTAATGATTTGAGAATCATAACGAGACCTTTTTTAGTTCTGCGCCACATGGTACTTTACCAGTGAGATTAGCTCCACGCGGTGAGTTCTGGCGCCCGGATCATGGACTTTCTGATTGATGAAACGGTGGAGGGCGGGACATCGAAATGAAAACAATAACAAGATTTAGGGACTGGAAAAGTAATTTAGAAATTCAAATATCTCTGAACTACTGTTATCAGTTAAAGACGTTTTGGAAAAGAGCAGTTTATTATTATGACAGATTAGGGCCCTTTAATGATGACAGATTAGGGCACTTTAATGATGACAGATTAGGGCCCTTTAATGATGACAGATTAGGGCACTTTAATGATGACAGATTAGGGCCCTTTAATGATGACAGATTAGGGCCCTTTAATGATGACAGATTAGGGCCCTTTAATGATGACAGATTAGGGCCCTTTAATGATGACAGATTAGGGCCCTTTAATGATGACAGATTAGGGCCCTTTAATGATGACAGATTAGGGCCCTTTAATGATGACAGATTAGGGCCCTTTAATGATGACAGATTAGGGCCCTTTAATGATGACAGATTAGAGCCCTTTAATGATGACAGATTAGGGCCCTTTAATGATGACTTGACATGAAAATCTTACATATTGCTACTTTAATTCTCTGATCTGTTGTTGGCGAATCGACAACTTTGTCAAGTCCCCCGAGACGGCCGCTGTTGTGATTTAGGGCTGTGCAAAAATAAAAAGAATCCCATTTCCAATAGTTTGCAGCGGTCTCTCTCTCTCGGCTGCTCTCTCTCTGTTACTGTATCTAGATAAAAGCGTTTCCATGGCGACGCTGGGGAGGCATGGGAAAACTGGACAAGGCCGTTTCTGACCGTCCGCTCATGTTTACGTGGGGACGGTGTGGAATGCAGATGAGGCTCCAGGACACCGCACTGAGGCGCTCTGAGGCCCCAGACTTGGCCTTTCTCTCGGTGTGGTGTGTGGGGGTCCAGGGCTCTGTGTCTGGGGGGTTTCTCCTATACATCATTCTAAACAGCTACAGTTAGAAAAGAAGGAGAGAGGAACATGGAGCCAAGATATTCGGTTATTTGCTGTTATCCAATGAAAGCGTGGATGTGTGAGGTCTACACTAGCCTGGTCTTACCACACCATTGTACTCATTTTATTTCATACAAAGGTCTGGATTTGCTCCATTGACTCCGTTAACAGGTGGGAGGGGCTAACTCCTTTTGCAGATTGAAACCATTGGATCTGAGTTTACCGTGACGTATGTAATGAGCCCGAGTGAGTGAGGCATTTAGCATTTAGCCTAGCTTTAGCATTTAGCCTAGCTTTAGCGCCATCTACATTCTCTTGGGGGGGGGGGGGGGGGGGGGGGGGGGCGGGTGGGGGTGGCAGTCAGAGCTGCACCCAGTCACAGAGCACCAGCCCCTCACTGATCCTCCTGCAGGTGGTGAGTCCACAGGAGCTGAGATCTTTCAGTGGGGGCTTCAGGCAAAGTGGGGTTAAGTGTCTTGCCCAAGGACACAACGACAGCAGTCATCAGTGGGAGTCGTGAAGTAGGTCTTGAGGTGGGCTCGAACCCACGACCTTCAGGCTCAAAGGCCAATGCTCTACCAACTGAGCTACTGTCGCTACATTATTTTACTACCAGCAAATTCAGCACATGCAGCGCTCTCTGATTGGTTGGAGCCACTAGGATCAGACCCAGACGTACATGTAGGAAATGATCAACACAGAGTTTACACATGGCAAGACCCAGAAGTCATCATTATCTATCTCTTTATTATTCAATTTCTGGGTCAAGGGGGTGGCCATTTCTTTCTTCTTAAATCCTTCGGTTTTCTTTAAATCTACACTTTACTGCTCGTCTGGCTCCCGCTCTAACTCCCGCTCTGATTGGTCAGAGCACGGCCGAGCCCCTCTGTGCACGTGCATGAGAGCCACACACGCGTATTTGGCGCAACGCATCATGGGAGAATATCCACTGCACAGAACCGGGAGGACCAGACGATGATTCAACCAGAGGAAGAGAAGGCTAACTGTAATGGACCGATTTTGAATTGACTGGATTCAGGCTGTTCTAGGCAACAGTTGGTGATGGACAAATGTTTACCTCCTCACCAGCCACAGAGAGTGTGCGTTTATATTAAATTGAATTGAAAGCTGATCATTTATTTGATTTAGTTTTTTATTTGATATGGAACAATGCACATTAATGAACATCCGTATAAAACAAATGTAAATATGCCGGATTATAGCTCAATGGACTCCCAATGAGTTCTCTTACTGTAGTTCTATCACTAAACACACAATTGTCCAGTGGAGATACCTGCAGAGTGGCTCCACTAGATCTTTGTCCAGAAAGTCATGGTCCCTCTTCACCGGCCGGATGTCGATGGGGAACTGGGAATCTGCACAAAGAGGTAAAGAAGAGCTCACATTTCCAACTCCAGCGCAGCATTCTTGTACAGTGAAAGCATTTTGTAAGTGCGACTAATTCAATCGGACGGAAAGCAGCGGTACGTCTTGCTTTCGTTCTGCTTTCTCTGACGTAACCTCTGAGAGCATTTCTAGAAACATTCCACTGGCGCAAGTTTTTCCTGAGGGGAACGGGACGGGGGCACAAGCGGCGGCCTGTTCGCCTCGCGCCCCGGGCTCATCTCGCCCTAATAATAGAAGGCATCATCATTCTGACATTTGGGATTCAGGACTTCCAGGAAAATGGACCCAGTGTTTCTGTGAGGGTCCCCACAGAAGCAGCACTGTGGCGGGGTCTTCTCCAGGCCAGGGGAGGGGACTGGAAGGGTCAAGAACAGTCCAGACCGGTGTAAAATGAGACAAAACTTTCAGAACTTTTGACCATGTTGTCCTTGTACTCTTGGTTGATATGATACTAACGTGTCTTGGTGGTAGGAGGGAGCCATAGCATTAATGCCCTTATATTTCAAAAGAAGGATTTTACATTAGATTTTTAAGCCAGTGGAGTTTTGTTAGTTGTTTGGCAATATATTTTTCAAGAATTTTAGATAAAGGAAGATTTGAGTTTGGTCTGTAATTTGTTTTAAATTCCGTCAAGATTTTGAACACTTGTTGAACATAGCCACTTTTTATAGATGCATTTATTTTGTTTAAAGGTACAGTATATAGAAGGGTTATCTACTTCCTGGTGGATCATCAAGACTCTTGGTCCTCTCAATTGTCAATCATTCTGGTGGAACGTGTTCGTCAAAAAAGACCAGAGAGTTTTGTTCATAAAGTGGAGAGGACATGCCTTTCCAAAGATTTAGGAAAATCGTCCTATAAACCTTTAAGATGGGCTGTATTATTAAGAGGAGAGTGTCTTTGAAGAGCCTCGCTGGGATTGGATCCAGGACGCCACTGCCCCCAGCTCCTCCGCCCACTGAGACACGCCCTTGGTTAGTTATGTGTTATTTTAGCATTGTCCACCTGCATACAGTCGATAGTCGCAGCATGGGTCGTAGTGGGTCGTGAGTGCATACCTTCAAAGAGCTGGGCGTACTGTGGGAATCCTGCCGCACGCAGCCAGTCACACGCCTCTTTGGCCTCGATCTCTGAAGAACACACACAAGGACTTATGTCAATACGAGAGCGGAGGAGGAGGACAGCAGAATGTGGCAGCAGAAGAGGAGGTCAGGGCCGGGCTAATGTGTGACACTTCTTTATCATACATTCACAGACAAGTACATTATTGAATCAATGTCTTACACACCAGGGACCTTCGTGGATACTTATTATGCATTCAGTAATTTCAAACCTGTGCTATTGTATTCTTGTTTTGTAGCACAGACCATGTTATGAAAAAGTCCTAGATAAAATAGGATTGATAGTTTGCCTATGGTTTTTGCCAGTCGTCTCCCATCCCAATACTTCCCAGGCCCTGACCTGCTTAACTGCAGGCTTTGTATGGCCATGTAAGAGGTACAGTGAGTTATACAGTCTGGTATAACTGTATTTATCAATCATTTATCAGTCACTCTTTGGGCCCAGAGGTTTTATTGACTACTACTGTATTTCAACTACTTTTGTTTTCATCGTTTTATGGCACAAGTTTGTCATTTTGTCAGAGATTCCAGAAAAAACAATAACTCCAAAGATAGCAGAGTGTTTCAGAGGCACCTGTTGGACTCACAATCAGGAAAAACATGTGCGTTTCCCAAAGATCGATAAACAGTGACTTTGGCAACTGTGCAAATATTAGCATCAGCTGTGTCCTTGCATAGTGCTTACTTTAGAGAAACTTCACAAAGGGTCTGAAAGCCTCGTACAATACTGTTTTAATATGCAGACCCTAAACAGTAAGTAAGTAATATTTATCCATTCAGTTATGGACATTTGAGAGAGATGAAAGTAGAGTCGCCTACAGGAGACTCACACCAGGCCTATTTAGTGGTAGGGGTGCAAGCCTACGCAGACACGGGGAGAACATGCAAACTCTACACAGACAGGCCGGGACCATCGAGCTGTGAAGCACAAGCGCTAACCACTGTGCTGCCTGTGCCGTTCAATGGGTACTCTTGTATCATAGGCCAGAAACCATTACCATCTGAGTAATGTTTTCCATTACAGTAGTTTAAAGTCTAGTGTTTAGAATACAATAAGTTTTAGGGTGGAAAAAAAATAAAAAAATTGGTATTTCTTGAAGTGAAAATTCTTTTGTTTCTGGTTAAATGCAGCTGTTGAAGACTTTGACTTGTTTTGCCAAAATAAAAAACATGTTTATTTCAACATTTATTGAGGTTGTGGTTTTAAATATTTAGAAATTTACCTTTATAAGTTTGTTAAAAAAACATAAATTAAAAACATAAATATAAATAATACAAATATAATAATTGAACGTATGATTGCAAGTATTTTAAGTATTCAGAATACAGGTACTACTGTTTCCAACGTAAATACTATAGGTTTCAGGTCATGTATTCAGTATTCTGGTGCGGGACACATGTTCACAGTCCTGGCCCCCACAGACTCGGTGCGGTCCGTCTGGGAGCGGCCTGGGACGGGTCTGTGTTGACGCTTCACAGCTGCAGATCTGAAGTGTCCTGAAGTGTCTCAAATGTCACGGAGACAAAAGGACGGAGCAAAACAACAGTCTCCAGAGTCCAAGAGTCACGGACACTTATGTAACAGACACACACCAACACTGGAGACGGCAGGGACAGGTGCACAGGTGTCCCGGGGCAGAAGTCCCGGCACGGTATGAGACTTATGGAGTATGAGACTAATGCAGTATGAGACTATTGGAGTATGAGACTATTGGAGTATGAGACTAATGCAGTATGAGACTATTGGAGTATGAGACTATTGGAGTATGAGACTATTGGAGTATGAGACTATTGGAGTATGAGACTATTGGAGTATGAGACTATTGGAGTATGAGACTAATGCAGTATGAGACTATTGGAGTATGAGACTAATGCAGTATGAGACTATTGGAGTATGAGACTATTGGAGTATGAGACTAGTGCAGTATGAGACTAATGCAGTATGAGACTAATGAGACTGAGACTAATGCAGTATGAGACTATGAGACTAATGCAGTATGAGATGAGACTAATAGTATGAGACTAATGCAGTATGAGACTATTGGAGTATGAGACTAATGCAGTATGAGACTATATGAGACTAATGCAATGCAGTATGAGACTATATGAGACTAATGCAGTATGAGACTATATGAGACTAATGCAGTATGAGACTAGTATGAGACAGTATGAGACTATTGGAGTATGAGACTAATGCAGTATGAGACTATTGGAGTATGAGACTAATGCAGTATGAGACTATACTTGGAGTATGGAGTATGAGAGACTAATGCAGTATGAGACTATATGAGACTAATGCAGTATGAGACTATTGGAGTATGAGACTAATGCAGTATGAGACTATATGAGACTAATGCAGTATGAGACTATTGGAGTATGAGACTAATGCAGTATGAGACTATATGAGACTAATGCAGTATGAGACTATTGGAGTATGAGACTATTGGAGTATGAGACTATTGGAGTATGAGACTATTGGAGTATGAGACTATTGGAGTATGAGACTATTGGAGTATGAGACTAATGCAGTATGAGACTATTGGAGTATGAGACTAATGCAGTATGAGACTATTGGAGTATGAGACTATTGGAGTATGAGACTAATGCAGTATGAGACTATTGGAGTATGAGACTAATGCAGTATGAGACTATTGGAGTATGAGACTAATGCAGTATGAGACTATTGGAGTATGAGACTAATGCAGTATGAGACTATATGAGACTAATGCAGTATGAGACTATATGAGACTAATGCAGTATGAGACTATTGGAGTATGAGACTAATGCAGTATGAGACTATATGAGACTAATGCAGTATGAGACTAATGCAGTATGAGACTATATGAGACTAATGCAGTATGAGACTATATGAGACTAATGCAGTATGAGACTATTGGAGTATGAGACTAATGCAGTATGAGACTATATGAGACTAATGCAGTATGAGACTATATGAGACTAATGCAGTATGAGACTATATGAGACTAATGCAGTATGAGACTAATGCAGTATGAGACTATTGGAGTATGAGACTAATGCAGTATGAGACTATATGAGACTAATGCAGTATGAGACTATTGGAGTATGAGACTAATGCAGTATGAGACTATATGAGACTAATGCAGTATGAGACTATTGGAGTATGAGACTAATGCAGTATGAGACTATATGAGACTAATGCAGTATGAGACTATTGGAGTATGAGACTAATGCAGTATGAGACTATATGAGACTAATGCAGTATGAGACTATATGAGACTAATGCAGTATGAGACTATTGGAGTATGAGACTAATGCAGTATGAGACTATATGAGACTAATGCAGTATGAGACTATTGGAGTATGAGACTAATGCAGTATGAGACTATATGAGACTAATGCAGTATGAGACTATATGAGACTAATGCAGTATGAGACTATTGGAGTATGAGACTATTGGAGTATGAGACTTATGGGGTATGAGATGATTACTTCTGCTTCATCCAACCCCTTTTCAAGCCTGTGTTAACGTAAAGTTGTGAAGCTGTGTTCTGTAGGTTTTAAACAAATCAAACTAACTAATTATTAACTTATTATGTATTCATAGATAGTTTTAACGGTTTATGACCATTTTTTGTGTGATTCACTGCCTCACATCTTCATGTGAGGTTCAGACCAGGGGTGTCCAAACATTTGAGAAAGAGAGCCACTGGAGTTCACCAGACTTGTCCAGGGGCCGACAACCCGGATTGAAGAAATGTTTTGACTCAGGCTATAGCTTTAAAAAGAGCTATAACATGTTTTATCTTGTACTTTTTTAGCTTGTTTTACATATGGACTTGCACACTGGGGACTCTTGCACATGTATTCCAATGTGGTTTTACTGCAAATGGCAAATAAACTGGATCTGAAGTTGAAGTTGGCTGAATGATAATTGTTTACCACCTCATTAGCATCTCACCAGCGCCACAGACGGACTTTTTGGACACAATCACAAACAGAGCCAGTGATTTCTAGATCAGTGGTTCCCAACCTTTCTTGGTCTGTGTACCCCCTGGGCTTGTGAGTGAAGTCATGAGTACCCCCATATGCATTTTTTTTTTCTACAACAATTCGTTTATTTCGTTTAATGTAACATTTTATGCAACTGTTTGTATACAAATTTGCATATAAATCAAACACCTTCACATTCATTTGCTATATTCAATATATTTTCTTTTCAGAATCCAAATGAAATGCTTATTGAAAAATATTTTAACATGACGGCTTACACAGAACACGATAGGCCTTTTAAAATAATTAGTCTTAATTTTCTTAGAAGTCAATGAGATGCTTGAGCTTGCTTTTCTCCCATCAGTTTACTTATATCAGGGGACAATGAGGCAACAGCTGTAATCAGGCTGCTCTCCACAGCCAGCCTGTTTCTGTGTTTAGTTTTAATGTGTGTCAAAGCAGAGAAAGTCACTTCACATAAGTAAGTAGATCCAAAAGGTAACAGTTCAGACAATGCACGTTTTCCAAGATCTGCATACTCCTTCTCCACATCACACCAAAACTCAGTCAGTGTCTTTGTAGTATGTCCCATCTTCAGTCCACGGTCAGAGAATAAATCCATGAGTTGCTCCTGCAGCACTGCTGGAAGATTCTTGCTGCTTTCACTCATGATAAAGGGGTTCCTCACCCAATCAAGTCTTTCTGAATGTTTGTCAATGTCCTGGAAATACTGATTAAAATCAGTGCTGAGCTTGGTCAGATGTGCTTTCACTATTTTGACTACTGCCCGCCTGGGTAACTCACTGGTAGTAAGGTGAGTTTGAAGTAGTGGGAAACAGCTAACATCCATCTCATCACACTTCCTCAACCATAGCTCAAGCTTCTTAGTGAATCCTTTCACTTTGTCATACATGTTGAGAATGTGTGACTCTTTGCCTTGGAGTGACAGGTTGAGCTCGTTGAGTTTTGAAAAAACATCGGCCAGGTACGCAAGACGTGCCACCCACTCAGCATCCTCGAACACGACCGCGAGACTGTGCTGATGCTCTTTAAGAAACACATAAACCTCATTATGAAGTTCATAAAGCCTCAGTAGTGTTTTCCCGCGAGACAGCCAGCGCACGTCCGTATGAAGCAGAAGCTGTTCGTGCTCGGTGCCGCTCTCCTGACACAGCGTTTGGAAAAGTCTGCGGTTGAGTGGACGCGAGTGAATAAAGTTGATTACTTTTACGGCATCGTCTAAAACGGCGCTCAACTCAGGGCTCACTCTCTTGCTGGCCAAGGCTTCGCGATGGATAATACAGTGCAACCATTTGATCTCGGTATTTACCTTTTTCACCTGGCCAAGAAGTCCCTTTACTCCCCCGGACATAGCAGCAGCGCCGTCTGTGCAGATGTGCGTACAGTACGTCCACTCAATATCGTGCTCTTTAAAAAAGCTGTCGATCACCTGGAATATCTCTTCACCCGTTGTCTTTCCTGGCAGTGCTTTGCAAAATAGTACGTGCTCATTTATGTCCGATTCATCTTTGTACCGTACAAACGCTAAGAGCTGGGCTTCTCCGCTGACATCTGTCATTTCATCCAGCTGGAGAGCAAAGTGTCCCGCTCGCCTCATTTTAGACACTACTTGCTCCACAATATTGCTTGACATATCAGCGATTCGTCGGGACACTGTGTTGTTTGACAACGGGACTGTTTTGAATGCGTCTGCTGCTCTTTTATCAATCATTTTTTCAGCCAAAGCAGTCGCGGCAGGGAGGATCAGTTGTTCGACTATTGTATGTGGCTTTTTTGGATTTGGCCACAAGCAATGACACGGCGTAGGAGGCCTCCAACGCTTTGCTTGAGACACTTGCGGCCTTTTTAATGACGGACTGACTCGTCTTAAATCCCATCAGCTTTCGTTTGTAAAACTCTTCCGCTTTACCCGCACTTTCTGGATGTTTTGTGGTCAAGTGTCGCTGTAGATGTGATGGCTTCATCGAGGTGTTAGCGAAGACCTCGCCGCAAAAGAAACACTGAGGCTGCGGAGGATCCGCCGAGGTGCAGGTGAATCCATACAACAGGTATTTATCACAGAACTGTCTTTGCTTTGATTTTGTATCTTTCTTACGCTTTTCCATCGTCTCAGCAGAATGTTCATCAGAGTCTGGAGTGATCGTAATCGGGCGTTTGAGCCACCTATCCATGCTAGCTGTCGTATTTTTCCACTGTTTTGATGTTTAGGCGCGCAGCGTGTCACAGTTTATGCCTCCCGGAGGTACAATTAGGACAATTAAAACAATAGTACATGTGTTATAAATGTTGTATTAAGACTTTTATTAAGTGACACCCGTATTGACACCGTTTTTACTTTATTCTGCATTACCACAATTTTTTTTTTAAATTATTGGCAGAATTTTCTTATTTTTTTTTTTTTCACCACGTACCCCCTGCAACGTCCCCGCGTACCCCCAGGGGTCCGCGTACCCCCGGTTGGGAAAGACTGTTCTAGATGTCTTGAGCTCTAAAACAAGGTACATGTCTATATAGGCTGAGCTGAAGTTGGCTGGATGACGCTGTAAACTTATTAGGATTTCATTGGCCTTTGAGCCAGAAGGTCGTGGGTTCGAGCCCACCACAAGACTTGCTCCACCGACTCCCATTGATGTCTGCTGTCGTTGTGTCCTTGGCAAGACACTTCCCCCACATTAGAGTCTGGTGTGTGTGTGAATGGTTGGTGGTGGTGGGAGGGGCCGAGGGCACAGACTGGTTGCCTCGCTTCTGTCAGTGTGCCCCAGGGCAGCTGTGGCTACAGTAGTAGTTTATCACTACTCTGTATGGAGTGAATGAATAATGACGTGAAGTGTCTTTTGAGTGTCCAGAAAAGCGCTGTATAAAACCAATGCACTATTATTATTATTATTTTATTATTATTATTATGATCTACTTTAGGTTAGCAAGCCACAGAACATGACACAGTGGGCCTCAAACGGCTCGCGGGCCATGGTTTGAACATGCATCATCTAGACCCGGTGAAATAAACGAAGGGCCCCAAAATGCAGGACTGAAAATAAAGTGTAATTGAATCAAATCAAATCAAAACCAGAGAAATAATTTAAACACAACATTCCAGAATTGAAAAATAAAAACAAATGTCTAAATACAATGGACGCACAACAAGTGGGAACAGGGTTTAGATACACACAGAGGAGACACATCAGGGACAAACAGGAAGAAAAACGCAAACTAAAGGAGGACGAATGTGAACCAAAGTAAAACCAGGTAACAATAATGAAAAGTCCACACCATGACACAAGAAATCTGCATCGCCCTCAATCACTAATAATCATAAGACATTGCATTTCTTCGGTGCCTTTCCAGACTCTCACGGTCGCCTCACATATCAAGTCGAAAGTACATGGAAATACATCAAAGTTAAAGCCACATGAACAGAGGATGGAAGTGATTAGTCTGAGTTTTGAGTTTGGATTTTGAAGTGTGTGAGAGACCGATCAGCTCTCAGCCCAAAGAGTCCAATAGAGCCTCACATGAAAGGACTGAACCAGGACTGAACCAGGACTGAGCCAGGACCGAGCCAGGACCGAGCCAGGACTGAGCCAGGACCGAGCCAGGACCCAACCAGGACCCAACCAGGACCGAGCCAGGACTGAAGTTCTCCAAAAAGATGAAGACATTTTACTTTCACAAGACTCGTTGGTCTCCCAGCTTTAGGTGTAAGAAGTTGAATAAGAAGTTAGTTAATTGGTGAATTAGAAGTGTGTGTTCTCTGAGTCCTGACCAATCAGTGTGTGTTCTCCGAGTCCTGACCAATCACAGCAGATTTCTGAGTTTGTTTTAAAGATCTGAAAAGATGAACTCACGGCTTATTTTCATCCTGAGAGGTTCCTGCGATCGCTGCTACATCCGCCCTGGACATGTCACACACACTCACTCTGCTCTGTCTGCTCCTACACTGCTGCCTCTGGGCTAAAGAGAGACGGAGGGAGGGGGCGGGGAGGGAGAGAGAGAAGGGGAGGAGGAGAGGGAGGGCGTGGAAGACTGAGAGCAAGGGTGGCAGAAGGGGAGGGAGGAGAGGGGAAGGGAGGTAGAGGGAGGCAGAGGAGTGGAGGGAGAGGAGGAGAGCGTGGGAGAGGAGAGGAGGAGAGGGAGGTAGAGGGGAGAGAGGAGAGGGAGGGAGGAAGAGAGAGAGGAGGGGAGAGAGGAAGAGAGAGAGAAGGGGAGGAGGAGAGGGAGTGTGTGGAAGACTGAGAGCAAGGGTGGCAGAAGGGGAGGGAGGAGAGGGGAAGGGAGGTAGAGGGAGGCAGAGGAGTGGAGGGGGAGGAGGAGAGGGAGGTAGAGGGGAGAGAGGAGAGAGAGAGGAGGGGAGAGAGGAAGAGAGAGAGAGGAGGGGAGAGAGGAAGAGAGAGAGAGGAGGGGAGAGAGGAAGAGAGAGAGGAGGGGAGAGAGGAAGAGAGAGAGAGGAGGAGAGAGAGGAAGAGAGAGAGAGGAGGGGAGAGAGGAAGAGAGAGAGGAGGTAAGTAGGAGAGGGAGAGGAGGGGAGAGAGGAAGAGAGGAGGTAAGTAGGAGAGGAACAGGTGAGAGGGAGAGGAGGGGAGAGAGAAAGAGAGGGAGAGGAGGGGAGAGAGGAAGAGAGAGAGGAGGTAAGTAGAAGAGGGAGAGGAGGGCAGATAGGGAGATGAGGGGAGAGAGGAAGAGAGAGAGAGGAGGGGAAAGAAGGAGTTAGAGGGGAGAGGGGAGAGGAGGGGAGAGATGGAGGGAGGGAGGGAGGGAGGAGGAGCGGGAGGTCCTGAAAAAAGAGGATTTCCCTGTAGTGCATGTTTTTGAGGGGGTGGCAGAAACCGGAGCACCAGGAGCAAACCCACCACAGACCTCCCTGATGTGAGGCCCGAGTGCTAACCACAACAAGCCACGTACACTTCCAGAACTTATGGATCGGACTCATTTTAAAACTCATTTGGAGATGATTTTTCAATACTTTTCAATTGAACAGATTACGACTGTTTCCATGAGGTAGGAGGGTTAGACATAGGGCTAAAGTTAGACCTGAGCCAGGGCTAAAGCTGGACCTGAACTGGGGCTAAAGTTAGACCTGAGCCAGGGCTAAAGCTGGACCTGAACTGGGGCTAAAGTTAGACCTGAACCAGGGCGAAAGTCAGACCTGAACCGGGGCTAAAGTTAGACCTGAACTAGGGCTAAAGTCAAACCTAAACCAGGACTAAAGTTAGACCTGAGCCAGGGCTAAAGCTGGACCTGAACTGGGGCTAAAGTCAGACCTAAACCAGGACTAAAGTTAGACCTGAGCCAGGGCTAAAGCTGGACCTGAACTGGGGCTAAAGTCAGACCTAAACCAGAACTAAAGTTAGACCTGAGCCAGGGCTAAAGTTGGACCTGAACATGGGTGTTTTATTAATATTTATGGACATTAGTCTCCATCTCTTTTGGACCAATGGCTCTCTGTGTTTTTATATCATTGAATTCTGATTCTCTAATCTGAGTTGGTGAATCGACAGTTTTGTAAAGTCCTCCGAGAAAACTCCTGTTGTGATTTAGGGCGATAGAAGAATAAATGGACTTGAAACTTTAAACCAGGACTTATAATCAGTGCTGTTCCCTGACGCTGACACAGAGCTGCAGTCACCGGCCAGATGTTTAGAGTCGGTGGAAAAGTGCGGTGTGCAGCGGGAAAAACCATGAGCTCGCATCACGGGGGGGGGGGGGGGGGGGCTTTGGGGAGCTCTGACCTGACATCATGGGGGAGGGGGTTCTGACTCACGGCCGCGGCGTCTGGGCCTCACTGTCACTCTGGGTCCATTAGGAGAACACACTCTCAGCCAATCAGCTTTGAGAGAGCTTTGAACCGTTTTAAAGCCTTGTTACTCCTCACAAACACACTTAAAGTTAGTTATAGCTCCGCCCACACTGGGTCTGGAACTTCAGGCACGAACACATCCCCCCACCCCTTCTGTCCAAATGCTCCTGTCTCAATCCTGGCATACAAATACTCTACGGTAAGATAAAAGATAAGATAGTCCTCATCGTTGCACATTACAGCCGAGAAGGAAGGACTTAAGACTCAGACGCACACAAACTATTATTAAAGATAACAGACATTAGAATCTAAATAATAAGATAATTCGGTGGTAAAATGGAATAAACTAAAACAAACTCTGGAGCTATAATGTCACTTGGTTCAGAAGTATTCACAGAAGTGTTTATTGTACTTTAACAGCAGAGAATATGAGCAGAATAAACAATAGCAACAATATCAGCAGTGAAGTGACGAGTGAATGACAGAAGGATCATAGGGATGGGACTGAGGAGCACAGGGACTGGCCTCCTGCTGGGACTCTGAGGAGCACAGGGACTGGGGCGTCCTGCTGGGACTCTGAAGAGCACAGGGACTGGTCTCCTGCTGGGATTCTGAGGAGCACTGGGACTGGGGCCTCCTGCTGGGACTCTGAGGAGCACAGGGACTGGCCTCCTGCTGGGACTCTGAGGAGCACAGGGACTGGCCTCCTGCTGGGACTCTGAGGAGCACAGGGACTGGGGCGTCCTGCTGGGACTCTGAGGAGCACAGGGACTGGCCTCCTGCTGGGACTCTGAGGAGCACAGGGACTGGCCTCCTGCTGGGACTCTGAGGAGCACAGGGACTGGCCTCCTGCTGGGAGGAGCACAGGGACTGGCCTCCTGCTGGGAGGAGCACAGGGACTGGCCTCCTGCTGGGACTCTGAGGAGCACAGGGACTGGGGCGTCCTGCTGGGACTCTGAGGAGCACAGGGACTGGCCTCCTGCTGGGACTCTGAGGAGCACAGGGACTGGCCTCCTGCTGGGACTCTGAGGAGCACAGGGACTGGCCTCCTGCTGGGACTCTGAGGAGCACAGGGACTGGCCTCCTGCTGGGAGGAGCACAGGGACTGGCCTCCTGCTGGGACTCTGAGGAGCACAGGGACTGGGGCGTCCTGCTGGGACTCTGAGGAGCACAGGGACTGGCCTCCTGCTGGGACTCTGAGGAGCACAGGGACTGGCCTCCTGCTGGGACTCTGAGGAGCACAGGGACTGGCCTCCTGCTGGGACTCTGAGGAGCACAGGGACTGGCTGTCTTCCTTGTCTGGCTTCATCTTGTTCATTCATTTCCTCTCAGTTTACTCTTGTTGAAATAAACATCTCTCATGGTGCGATCTAATGAAAGGCCTGCAGTGACTCAGAGTTATGGTCCAGTGGAGAATCTGACCAAACTAATTGAAGGTATAATGTTTTAAAGCCGGGGTTCCTACATGGTTTTGCTTCATAGTACATTTGGTTTACATCTGGTTTGTCTAAAGAGAAAGAGTCTCAGTGAAAGAAAAACAGATCAGATTCTGCCTTCATCTGATTAGAAAACATGTTTGCTTTGGCATTCCTGTGAGTCACTCTTTGACTCTTTGGGCTGAGAGCTGATTGGTCGAGTGAGGGTGGTCTAAAGCTGATCTCAAGATGTGAGGCTGAAAACACTGAGAATCTTTTGAGTGGAATCTTTAGCCTGAACTTAACCCTGGTTTTTAAAATGTGGTGCCCCGGCTTTAACTGGTCTTAAATAGCTACGTCCCATTTTAGGCACTTGAGGCAGAGTGGGCCAGAGTGGGCCAGAGTGGGCCAGAGTGGGCCAGAAGATGATGTAACAATGCGTCCGGTCTGTGATGAGTAAGAGCATTTCCAGATGTGGTCCGGTTTGTGAGCTGCGAGGGTCTAGCAGCAGGCACAGTAACACACACACACACACACACACACACACACACACACACACACACACACACACACACACACACACACACACACACACACACACACACGACACACACACACACACACACACACACACACACACACACACACACACACACACACACACACACACACACACACACACACACACACATCACTATCACTTTCTGAATCAGACGAGGTATCTGGGACATAGTTGTCTGAACTATCCATTGTAGAATCATAAAACTCACAGTCAAGATGATTTGTGTCTTTCATCTGAATAAAACAAGAAAAAACATTTTAACAACTAAGAATTCCAAAAAAGTAAAAAAAAAAACAGTCAGAATGCAATTCATTGAAAAAAAATACTTACAAAATAAATGAATGACACATTTAACTTCACTGGATGATAACAAGTTTTATAGGTACATTTTGTACTGACTTACTATGACACTTTTTGTCCTTATCAGTTTTGGTACATAATCGACTTCCCATGTGTGCTGTGCAAGAATCTGTAAATAAAAAAAAACTAATATAAACAAACAAGACAAAAAACGACAACACTTCTCTTGAGGACCTTTTCACACCCCACTCCATTCCTTATTTATGGGGACCAATTCAACGGACTCACACACATAATTAAACTCAACAGAACTCACTCATCCACTCTTCCACTATCCATTTAAATGACTTACACATAAAAAATATTGTATAATTGTCTTCAAAGGTTAAAAAAGCTTTCTCAGGACTGACAAGGAATCTCTGGTATTTTGTCATGATTGATGAATAGGATCCTACTTGTTTCTGATTGGCATCGTTTCCAACTGACGTATTCATGTGGGACTGAGGCTGGTCAGAATGATCAAAAAATCTGTGGTATAAGTGTCATCTGTGGGAGACAGAAGGTATGAGGATTTACAATTGAACACTAAAATAATCACCGTCTAAAACAGTGATTACAAATTAAAATCAAAAGACCACTCAAGCAGTCCCAAATACTACCAGCAGTACACAAATCATAGTTTGACTGATGTAAAACCAACTTGTTTGTACATACACACATCTAGGGTCGGGGACACGTCTCATGAGGACCTTTTCACACCCCTCTCAATTCCTTCATGGGGACCAATTCAATGGACTTTCACACACTGATCAACTCATCAGCAGTCACTCCAGGTGTGCTATGGGGACATTGTGAGGGCTATTTCACACACTTCCATTCCTTCTTTACGGGGACCGTTTCAATGGACTTTCACACATGATTAAACTCAACAGAAGTGTTTTATGGGGACATCGTGAGGGTTCATTTGAAAGAAACATTTAAGTAAAAAGTCCTTGTCTGCAATGACCAAAAAAGGCTTAAAGTATTCTCCTTCTATTCCACTTACTGAATATAGTTTAATGAGTTACACATGAAAAATCTTATACAAATGACTTCAAATGTTAAAAAGCTTTCTCAGAATTGACAAAGAACCTCTGGAATCTTGTCATGATTGATACAAATTATCCTACCTGTTTCTGAGGGGCATCGTTTGCAAATGACGTATTCATGTGGCACTGAGGCTGGTCAGAATGATCAACAGAACCTGGAGTAGTGCAATCTGCTGTCACGTGGGTCATCTGTGTGAATCAGAAGGTATGAGGATTTACTATAAAACACTTGAATAATCACCGTCTTAAACAGAGATCACAATTTTAATTTAATAGAACCACCCAAGAAGGCCAAAGTACTACCAGAAGTCCACAAATCATATTTTGACAGATGTAAAACAAACTTATTTGCACATACACACATCTAGGGTCGGGGACATGTCTCATGAGGACCTTTTCACACCCCCACCCCATTCCTTCATGGGGACCAATTCAATGGACTTTCACACACGGTTCAACTCATCAGCAGTCACTCAAAGTGTGTTATGGGGACATTTTGATGGCCATTTCACACACTTCCATTCCTCCTTTACGGGGACCAATTCAATGGACTTTCACACATGTTTAATAGAAGTCACTCAAAGTGTTTTATGGGGACATCGTGAGGGTTCATTTGAAAGAAACATTTAGGTAAAAAGTCCTTGTCTGCAATGACCAAAAAAGGCTTAAAGTATTCTCCTTCCACTATTCCACTTACTGAATATAGTTTAATGAGTTACACGTGACAAATCTTATACAAATGACTTCAAATGTTAAAAAGCTTTCTCAGAACTGACAAAGAACCTCTGGAATTTTGTCATGATTGATAAAAATTATCCTACCTGTTTCTGAGGGGCATCGTTTGCAAATGACGTATTCATGTGGCACTGAGGCTGGTCAGAATGATCAACAGAACCTGGAGTAGTGCAATCTGCTGTCACGTGGGTCATCTGTGTGAATCAGAAGGTATGAGGATTTACTATAAAACACTTGAATAATCACCGTCTTAAACAGAGATCACAAATTTAATTTAATAGAACCACCCAAGAAGGCCAAAGTACTACCAGAAGGACACAAATCATAGTTTGACAGATGTAAAACAAACTTATTTGCACATACACACATCTAGGGTCGGGGACATGCCTCATGAGGACCTTTTCACACCCCCGCCCCATTCCTTCATGGGGACCAATTCAATGGACTTTCACACACGGTTCAACTCATCAGCAGTCACTCAAAGTGTGTTATGGGGACATTTTGATGGCCATTTCACACACTTCCATTCCTCCTTTACGGGGACCAATTCAATGGACTTTCACACATGTTTAATAGAAGTCACTCAAAGTGTTTTATGGGGACATCGTGAGGGTTCATTTGAAAGAAACATTTAAGTAAAAAGTCCTTGTCTGCAATGACAAAAAAAGGCTTAAAGTATTCTCCTTCCACTATTCCACTTACTGAATATAGTTTAATGAGTTACACATGACAAATCTTATACAAATGACTTCAAATGTTGAAAAGCTTTCTCAGAACTGACAAAGAACCTCTGGAATTTTGTCATGATTGATACAAATTATCCTACCTGTTTCTGAGGGGCATCATTTGCAAATGACGTATTCATGTGGCACTGAGGCTGGTCAGAATGATCAACAGAACCTGGAGTAGTGCAATCTGCTGTCACGTGGGTCATCTGTGTGAATCAGAAGGTATGAGGATTTACTATAAAACACTTGAATAATCACCGTCTTAAACAGAGATCACAAATTTAATTTAATAGAACCACCCAGGAAGGCCAAATTACTACCAGAAGTACACAAATCATAGTTTGACAGATGTAAAACAAACGTATTTACACATACACACATCTAGGGTCGGGGACATGTCTCATGAGGACCTTTTCACACCCCCGCCCCATTCCTTCATGGGGACCAATTCAATGGACTTTCACACACGGTTCAACTCATCAGCAGTCACTCAAAGTGTGTTATGGGGACATTTTGATGACCATTTCACACACTTCCATTCCTCCTTTACGGGGACCAATTCAATGGTCTTTCACACATGTTTAATAGAAGTCACTCAAAGTGTTTTATGGGGACATCGTGAGGGTTAATTTGAAAGAAACATTTAAGTAAAAAGTCCTTGTCTGCAAAGACCAAAAAAGGCTTAAAGTATTCTCCTTCCACTATTCCACTTACTGAATATAGTTTAATGAGTGACACAAAACAAATCTAAGATAATTGACTTCAAATGTTATAAAACCTTTTCAGAACTGACAAAGAACCTCTGGTATTTTGTCATGATTGATAAAAATTATCCTACCTGTTTCTGAGGGGCATCGTTTGCAAATGACGTATTCATGTGGCACTGAGGCTGGTCAGAATGATCAACAGAACCTGGAGTAGTGCAATCTGCTGTCACGTGGGTCATCTGTGGGAAACAGAAGGTATGAGGATTTACAATAACACACTATAATAATCACCATCTCAAACAGAGATCACAAATTTAATTTAATATAACCACCCAAGAAGGCCAAAGTACTACCAGCAGTGCACAAATCATAGATTGACAGATGTAAAACAAACTTATTTGCACATACACACATCTATGGTCGGGGACATGCCTCATGAGGACCTTTTCACACCCCCGCCCCATTCCTTCATGGGGACCAATTCAATGGACTTTCACACACGGTTCAACTCATCAGCAGTCACTCAAAGTGTGTTATGGGGACATTTTGATGGTCATTTCACACACTTCCATTCCTCCTTTACGGGGACCAATTCAATGGACTTTCACACATGTTTAATAGAAGTCACTCAAAGTGTATTATGGGGACATCGGGAGAGTTCAATTTAAAGAAACATTTGAGTAAAAAGTTCTCGTCTGCCATGACCAAAAAAAGGTAAAAAATACTTTCCTTCGACAATTCCACTTACTGAATATAGTTTAACGAGTGACACATAACAAATCTAAGATAATTGACTTCAGATGTTATAAAAACATTTCAGAACTGACAAAGAACCTCTGGTATTTTGTCATGATTGATAAATATGATCTTACCTTAATCTGATAGGCATCGTTTCCAAATGACATATTCATGTGGCACTGAGGCTGGTCAGAATGATCAAGAAAACCTGTAGTTGAGCCATCTGCTGTCACATGGGTCATCCGTGGGAGACAGAAGGTATAAGGATTTATAATAAAACACTAAAATAATCATGGTCTAGAACAGAGATCACAAATTTAAATTTAAAGAACCACCCAAGGGGGCCCAAGTATTACCAGCAGTACACAAATCATAGTTTGACAGATGTAAACCCAACTTGTTTGTACACACACACATCTAGAGTCTGGAACACGTCTCATGAGGACCTTTTCACACCCCTCTCAATTCCTTCATGGGGACCAATTCAATGAACTTTCACAAACAATTCCACTCATCATCAGTCACTCCTAGTGCGTTATGGGGACCTTTTTAGGACCATTTCAAACACTTCTATTCCTTCTTTACGGGGACCATTTCAACAGACTTTCACACATGATTAAACTCAACAGAAGTCACTCAATTTATTATGGGGACATTGTGATGGTTCATTTGAAAAAGGCTAAAAATATTCTACTTCCACTTATCTACTTACTGAATATAGTTAAATGAGTTAAACATAACAAATCTTATATAATTGACTTCAAATGTTAAAAAGCTTGCTCAGAACTGACAAAGAATGGTCAGAATGATCAAGAAAGCCTGTTGTAAAGCCATCTGCTGACACGTGGGTCATCTGTGGGAGACAGAAGGTATAAGACTTTACAATAGAACACTATAATAATCTATAAGTCTAAAACAGTGCTCCAATTTTTCCAACCAAGCCCCATGTTATAAAATACTGAAATGTACCACCAGGTCTGGATCACCATGAAACAAGATAAGAGAAACTTAATTGATCTCACAGTGGAGAATCAGGGTTTATAAAGGTCTAAACTAGACTTCCTGAAGTCTACCTAAAGCCTTGTCTATAGCAGAAAACTCCAAGCTCCAAGTCATAACTAAAACAATCATACAATGTAAAATCACCACCATAGGAGGCCATTTCACACACTTCCATTCATTCTTTATGGGGACCAATGAAACAAACTTTCAAACATAGTTCAAGTCAATAGCAGTAACTGAAAGGGCATTCTTTGTATTAGGTTAGAAATAAGCAATTATTTTAAGCGTGTGTTTGTGACATACTCTTTCTCTCCATGGGCAGTCATCTCCACCATAATCATAAGTAATTTCTTCTCCTTCTTTTTTGTCTCGTAATGCTTCTTTTCATCTTACAATTTGGGTGGATGTGGTCATCATTAACAATACGCCCAAATGTGCCATCTTGTACTGAAGCATCAATGCTGAAAAAAAAGAAATATATATATTGATATATAAAAACTTTTAAACACATATAGTACATACATTATACAGTATAGTGCTACAATCACCAAGCTTACATACTCAAAGCTTACCTATATTTATCAATTCAAATTATATAATACAGAGACAGCTTTTTCAGCTAAATTTTCAAACCCCACAGACAGAGGTTTTTCTGGGCTAATTCGTGGTGCCATTTAAATCATCAAAAACTGAAACAACAGAATGCATAATTATGATTTCACTTGAGTCATTTTTTGAAACAATTCTATTACATTTGTAATTTATTTTATCTGTAGGTTTGGTACAGCTGTTTCTACTATATTACTTCCAAATATCTTCTATATCTAATATATTTTAATACATAATTACAAATCAAACCTTTACTTTCAACATTTAGTCAGGTACTCAATTAATATATTCATCCAGTACTTCAGTAACTTTTCTTTTTCCTTTCTACTTGAAGAAATTAAATATTTCTGCTATTTGACCCACTTAATTCTTAAAATAAAACTAAACTGCAAACTACTTCTTAATAAGTAAAGCCACTATAGGTTACTGCTATTACATAGAAAGCTTTAGTTGTATCATTCAGAACCTGTATATGTACTGAGAAACCTTTAGTTGCTTCTTGAAAGTACCACACACAAGTTGATTACTATACGAGCTAGTTGCTAATGCTAACAGGTTGTATATTAAAATCACATCTAATCTTGCTTAAAAAGGGAAACCATGCAAAGTAAATCACTGAATCTGTACTTATTACACAGTTTATTCGTTTTGCATGAGCATTGAACAGATACAGTCTTTAGTATAGCTACCAGCAAAGAGTACTCAGATTCTTTAGCCTGTTTACTCTGACACTAGCTTGTTAGCAAAAATCGGTGCTAACTTCCTAGCTAGCTACTTCTAGTACATAAGAAGCTCTACTTATGTAATTTAGTCACCACTCGTTTACTGCGAAGACAACTGTTCGCCATCTGAATGTCCTTTTAGAAGGGAACATTGACCCATGTGCTGTTTGGTAGAATCTGCTGTCCAAGCTAGTTGCTAATGCTAGCTCCAACAAGTTGCCAATGCTAGCTCGAACCAGTTGCATTAGTCTGTACATTAAAACCACAGCAATTCAGGCCACAAAAGTGAATTAGCAATAACTTGGTTGCTATTAAATAACATGCATATATACAATATTTGTTCTAAAATGATTGCAAATTATGCTTACCTGTCTGTTGCATTTGAAAGCAGCTGAAAACAGTTGATTCCAAGATCATCACTCTTGGGGACCAGGATGTGGGCGGTACTTAATTATATATGCAAAGTGTGTGTGGAAACCAATGTGTCTTACCAGTCATTACCACCAGAGGTGCCAATGAGCAACCACAACACACACATTAAACATCACTTACGAGCCTTCTCTAAAACTTTGCCCAGCACCTTCTAAACAGCTCCCCCATTCATCTAAATGGTTTTCCTTATGGGGACCTGGTTTTTGGTCCTCCTAAGGAAATGGGTCCCCATGGCGTGACTGTGTTAACAGATTTCAGTCCCCACAACGTGATGATTACAAGAACACACACACACACACACACACACACGCACAGACACGCACACACACACACACACACACGCACGCACAGACACGCACACACACACACGCACGCACACCCGCACAAACACGCATGCAGCATGCACGCGCACACACACACACACACACACACACACACACACACACACACACACACACACACACACACACACACACACACACACACACACACACACACACACACACACACACACACACACACACACACACACACACACACACACTGTCTCCTGGACTTTCCAAAGCCTTGTTCTCAGAATGAAACCTAAAAGCGACGGTGAGTGTGTTTCCAAAGCAGGAGAAACTTCCATGTGTCAATCAAACAGGTCTGGTGAGTTTCGCTCCTGTCTGTTTGTAAATGCACAACTTTGTCACTAGTAACAATGTATCACCACATTTCTACCAGGAAAGTAGCTCTCTGGGTGATAAAGGTTGGACACACCTGGTCTAGTGAAGCTTCATGTTGACAAGGCTGAGAACACATGACTTGGACCTTTGTGAACTACTGTTACTCAGCAAAATGTTATCGGCAACACAGAAAAAAAAGTAAAAATAATAATGATTCACTATAAGCCGCAGTCTTTGAAATGCAGGAAAAAGCTGAGGCTTCTATTCTGGAATTTACGGTGTATACAATTGTTCAGACCGTGGCGGGTCGTACAACACCATAGTACAAATTTAATTCTGTACTAAGGTCTGGATTGGCTTCATTGACTCCGTGAACAGGTGGGAGGGGCTAACTCCTTTTGCAGATTGAAACGATTGGATCTGAGTTTACCGTGACGTATGTAATGAGCCCGAGTGTGTTGTTAGCATGTAACCTAGCTTTAGCATTTAGCCTAGCTTTAGCCATCTCCTTTGCCGCTAACGGAGCCCGTGGGGAGTAGAGCCACATATTTGCTTCAATGACATTTACTAAACATTCCTCTTGCTCCGGCTTCAGTTTCTTGATATTTGGATTGAACCAGAACAGATTATTTTACTATCGCATTCTCCGACAAACTACAACCAGCAAATTCAGCACAAACTCTTGACGTCACCGACACCGACCTACAACACCCGCCTCCCCTGCTCTCTGATTGGTCGGATGAGATTCAACCGAGGAAACTGCAGCCACTAGGATCAGACCCAGACGTACATGTAGGAAATGATCATGGACCAGAGTTTACACATGGTAAGACCAGAGGTACATGTAGGAAATGACCATGGACCAGAGTTTACACATGGTAAGACCAGACGTACATGTAGGAAATGATCATGGACCAGAGTTTACACATGGTAAGACCAGACGTACATGTAGGAAATGACCATGGACCAGAGTTTACACATGGTAAGACCAGAGGTACATGTAGGAAATGATCATGGACCAGAGTTTACACATGGTAAGACCAGACGTACATGTAGGAAATGATCATGGACCAGAGTTTACACATGGTAAGACCAGACGTACATGTAGGAAATGACCATGGACCAGGGTTTACACATGGTAAGACCAGACGTACATGTAGAAAATTACCATGGACCAGAGTTTACACATGGTAAGACCAGAGGTACATGTAGGAAATGATCATGGACCAGAGTTTACACATGGTAAGACCAGACGTACATGTAGGAAATGATCATGGACCAGAGTTTACACATGGTAAGACCAGACGTACATGTAGGAAATGATCATGGACCAGAGTTTACACATGGTAAGACCAGACGTACATGTAGGAAATGACCATGGACCAGAGTTTACACATGGTAAGACCAGACGTACATGTAGGAAATGATCATGGACCAGAGTTTACACATGGTAAGACCATACGTACATGTAGGAAATGATCATGGACCAGAGTTTACACATGGTAAGACCATACGTACATGTAGGAAATGATCATGGACCAGAGTTTACACATGGTAAGACCAGACGTACATGTAGGAGATGATCATGGACCAGAGTTTACACATGGTAAGACCAGACGTACATGTAGGAAATGATCATGGACCAGAGTTTACACATGGTAAGACCAGACGTACATGTAGGAGATGATCATGGACCAGAGTTTACACATGGTAAGACCAGACGTACATGTAGGAAATGATCATGGACCAGAGTTTACACATGGTAAGACCAGACGTACATGTAGGAGATGATCATGGACCAGAGTTTACACATGGTAAGACCAGACGTACATGTAGGAAATGATCATGGACCAGAGTTTACACATGGTAAGACCAGACGTACATGTAGGAAATGATCATGGACCAGAGTTTACACATGGTAAGACCAGACGTACATGTAGGAGATGATCATGGACCAGAGTTTACACATGGTAAGACCAGGTTAGTTCAGACCATAACACGCAGTCGTTTTCTTAGGACACATCCTTCACTGCAGCTTGAACGCTACTGTGTGGAGTCTGACCCTTCGCTCGGTCTGTGTTTGGACATGTGACCTTTGAGGAGTTATGCAGCCGCCGCCGCCGCCGCCGCCACCGCCGCCGCAGACGGAGACGAGACGGTCGTGAATCAGTCGGACAGTCAGAGACACACAGGACTGAAACAAAAGCACTGTCACCTCTGAGCACACCTGCACAGCGACAGATATGCAGCCGCCACCGCCTTCGCTGTGGGAGCAGGACCAGACAGGCCCGCCCCCCCCTACCTCCCCCTCCTCCCCCGTCTGCTACACCCACGGTCTGATGCCTCACCACCCATGACATCCAAACACTGCCCAAGTGTGTGTCACAGACCAACAAGGAGAGATATTTTTATATACATACTTTCCCACAATGTACTTTAGTTGGAACCTGTCTGTGGTGAGAAAGAGTCGTTTCCTTTGTGTGAAGTGACTAAGTTTACAGTATTTGAAATGTGTTTGTGTGTGATGTATTGTCATGTTCACAATTTAAATACATACATACATGCACAAATACATACATACACACACATACATACAGTACACACACACACACACACACACACACACACACACAGTACATACTAACATACATACATACATACATACACAAATACATACATACATACATACATACTAACATACATACATACATACATACAGTACATACATATATAAGACATTATATAAAAACAATGTCTGGTCCGAATACAGAGAGATTATGACTTGAATGTATTTCTCTTCTTTTCCCTCGACTCATGTTGGCATGTACTTGCTCTTGTTAATACATTTTGGAGTATGTTTCATTACCATTGCTGGTATTTGCTGTTCATTACCATTGTTGGTATTTCTTTTTTTAAATTGCTTTTGCATGTAGTTTTTATTTTATTTTTATTATTATTTTTTTTTTTTACACTTGTCCCTGATGACATTTTCAATAACTCATTTTGCTTATGAACAATATTTTTAAGATTTTTATATCTGTGCTAAATTTACGTTGGAGCTAAAACCGGAGCCTTTACTTTACTTTACCCTTGTAATGACTGAAGTAATTAGGGGTGGGATTAAATAAGTGTCCACTTCTTCCCACTCCTTTTCGAGCATCCATAAGTGTTATGTTAGTATCACTCACTCTTTTTGTTATTACTCCTTTGTTATATTTTGTACATGTACCTAAGTTGCTTGAACTAATTATTTCTATGCCCGCTTACTTGCTCGGAATGAATAAATAAAAAAACAAAAAATAAAATAAAAAAACATACATACATACACAAATACATACATACAGCACATACATACATATACATACATACATACATACATACATACATACATACATATACATACATACATACATACATACAGTACATACATACATACAGTACATACATACATACATACTAACATACAGTACATACATACAGTACATACTAACATACATACATACATACATACATACAGTACATACATACAGTACATACTAACATACATACATACATACTAACATACAGTACATACATACAGTACATACTAACATACATACATACATACATACATACAGTACATACATACAGTACATACTAACATACATACATACATACTAACATACAGTACATACATACAGTACATACTAACATACATACATACATACATACATACAGTACATACATACAGTACATACTAAAATACATACATACATACATACATACAGTACATACAGCTTACACACTTGTAATGAAAGAAGGTGAGGGAAAAGTTATATTTAAAGACTTTGAAGCTGCTGAAAGCGACGCAACACAGGAAATTCTCATGCGCTGACATCACAAAGAAGCGTCACTGTTCATTATGACGACGCTGGAAATGACTGAAGTTTATCAGCTACGGTTCGGAGTAAACAACATGCTTTAAAGTCACAGCACGAACCTTCACTTCAGTCACATTTTATTCATGAAGCAATATTCAGACAAATGATACAGAACAAAGTGTTTTACTTTAAAACAATCCCACACATCGACACAACCGTTAAATCAGGAAGAAAAACTCAGAGTCAGAAAGGACGCCCAGGTTTCTTGTTAAAGAATATGTTTGAAGTTTGGGTGAAAGTTTCTCTCTCCGAACGAGTAAGTAAGTAAGTAAGTTTTTATTTATATACCGCCTTTTCACTGCAGATCTGAGTCTCAAAGCGGTTTACAATTGTTAATGTTGGGCATTTGTCTCTCACTCCACACAGAGATGGGAGCGGGGCCAGTACAGGAGGCACATGCCAGAACTATTGGACATATTTTTAGTGGTAGGGGAAACCGGAGTACCCGGAGGAAACCTACGCAGACACGGGGAGAACATGCAAACTCCACTCAGAAAGGCCCTGGTCCGACCGGGATTTGAACCCAGGACCTTCTTGCTGAGAGGCGAGAGTGCTATCCACTCAGCCACCGTGCCGCTGAGTGGATAGCACTCAGGTCAGAACGAGGTCTGATGCTAATGTTTTCTGTCATCCAGGATTTCAGGTCTAAATCCTGGATGACAGCTGATACAGCCTGGTGTCATGAGTATAAGTGTGGAAGCTCAGTCCATGCGTTCTGTACAAATGAAATAGAACTGGACCTACAACCGAGCCCTGGGGCACACCACATGTGACTGTGTGGACCTGAGCAGGATCTAGACCAGAAGTGTTTCTGACAGAGAAGAGGTGAACCGTTTGAAGACAGCTCCAGAGAAGCTGAGGTTTTTAAGACGAGATGAAAATAGTTTGGTCAGACGCTTCGATCCAGTAGAACCAACAGTACCCAGCAGAAACCATCAGTACCCAGAATTACAGTAGAATATGGTAATAATGCAATTTTATGATAGAAATTGTAGCTAAAAATCTAAAATCTTGGTGGTTCCCCAAAACCACTGAAATGTTTCTAAATGTTTTGTTAAAAACCATTGAGCTGAATGTTGTCTGCAGTTGTTAAAATCCTCAAAATCTAAAATGTTCTTCTTCAGAACAGGCCTTAACTTCAGCCGCTTTAGAGTTTGCAGAAAAAAGATTCATGAACAACTTAAAGCACGAAGGGGACTGTATCTAGAGACCTGTGGGAACAACCAGCAGCAACCAGCAGCAACCAGCAGAAACCAGCAGTACCGATCAGAAACCATCAGTAACCAGAAACCAGGACGAAACTGACCAGTGTTTTCTCTGGAGACGACAAACAAGATGCAGTAATGTTTTAAAAGCGGTAAAATCAGGGTTTAAAGATTAATTCAACTCAGATCATTCGTGTAAAACCTTAAATCCCAACAGTCGTATCTCAGAGGACTTTACCAGCTGTCGATTCACCGACACAGATCAGAAAATCAGACTGTGGAGTGAATGGTCTCAATGGGAGAGAAAAAGATCTTCACTTTGAGAAGTCGTTTTCCCATGTTTTTCTAATAATGTGAGTAAGGATTTTGTTTGGTTGGATTTGGTTTTGATCCATCCCAGAACGTCTACTACTGTTAAAATAATAGTAGTTCCTGGTGTTTCATAGTTTTTATTGTTACATTTGTACTGTTTTTACTTTGTGCATAATGTTTTAGCTGGTAAACCTGTGTATTTAAACGTGTTAATTCTGTCTCTTAGGGGCGACAGTAGCTCAGTTGGTAGAGCTATTTGGGCCAGGAGGTTGTGGGTTTGAGCCCACCATGGGACCTGCTCCAACTGCTCCCACAAATGTCTACTGTCGTTGTGTCCTTGGGCAAGACACTTAACCCCACATTGCCTGAAGCCCCTGCTGAAAGACCAAGGCTGTTTCACCACTGACAGAGCAGCCATCTTCCTGTGGACCCACCCCCTGCAGAGGATCAGAGGGACAGCTCTCATTGCCACCCCCCCCAACCCAGAAATGGACTAATAAAGAGGTTGAAAATGAATGAATGAATGAAATCTATCTCTGCGCAGGATGTTGTAAACTTGTGATATAAAATGTTCTATATAAATAAAGTGGCTTGTCTACAATGTTGTGAACACTTCAGGAGTGAGTGTGTCCTCAGTGAGTGTGTCCTCAGTGAGTGTGTCCTCAGTGAGTGTGTCCTCAGTGAGTGTGTCCTCAGTGAGTGTGTCCTCAGTGAGTGTGTCCTCAGTGAGTGTGTCCTCAGTGAATAAAACGTCACTGTTTGGTCCTGAAGACGACAAAGACCTGGGCTCTGTCTGAGTGAGTCATACACACACAAAAACATGTACACACACACACACACACACAGAGGCACACACGTACACACACACACACGCACACACACACACACACAGGCACACACGTACATGCACACACGCACACACATACACACACACAGGCACACACACACACAGGCACACACACACACACACATGCACACACACACACACAGGCACACACACACACAGACACAGACACACACACACACACACACACACACACACAGGTTTTGGATCCTCAGACACATCCTCCACTTGAAGTCCTCGTGTTGTTCTTTTCAATCACAGCTTATTTTTCCAAACACTGTTTTTTCCACAAATGATGTTCTTTAGAACTTCCTTAAATTAGATAAATGTGCAAAAAGTGATGGAAAAGAAGTCAAAAATGGCCCGAACTCGTTCTGACTGAGTTTTAAAACAAGATTCTCTGATGGGACAAAGCAAAATGATCGTGTTTTTAAGAATATACTCTTTTATTGTAGATAATTATATCCTGCACAGACTGTATTTTTAACCTTTACCATGTTTCACTTCTGTCTTTGCACAAACAGAGATTCTACCTGTGCCAAATGTGACATGTGCATTTGTCAGATTAAGATGGAAATTATTGATTTAAGCTTTTATTTCTCTAGTCTCTCTCTGGTCTTTCTCTGGTTTCTCTCTGGTCTCTCTCTGGTCTCTCTCTGGTCTCTCTCTGGTCTCTCTCTGGTCTCTCTCTGGTCTCTCTCTGGTCTCTCTCTGGTCTCTCTCTGGTCTCTCTCTGGTTTCTCTCTGGTCTCTCTCTGGCCTCTCTCTGGTCTCTCTCTGGTCTCTCTCTGGTCTCTCTCTGGTCTCTCTCTGGTCTCTCTCTGATCTCTCTCTGGTCTCTGGCCTCTCTCTGGTTTCTCTCTGGTCTCTCTCTGGTCTCTCTCTGGTCTCTCTCTGGTCTCTCTCTGGTCTCTCTCTGGTCTCTCTCTGGTCTCTCTCTGGCCTCTCTCTGGTCTCTCTCTGGTCTCTCTCTGGTCTCTCTCTGGTCTCTGGTCTCTCTCTGGCCTCTCTCTGGTCTCTCTCTGGTCTCTCTCTGGTCTCTCTCTGGTCTCTCTCTGGCCTCTCTCTGGTCTCTCTCTGGTCTCTCTCTGGTCTCTCTCTGGTCTCTGGCCTCGCTCTGGTTTCTCTCTGGTCTCTCTCTGGTCTCTCTCTAGTCTCTCTCTGGTCTCTCTCTGGTCTCTCTTTCTGGTCTCTCTTTCTGTTCGCTCTCTTGTCTCTCTCTGGTCTCTCTCTCTAGTCTCTCTTTGGTCTCTCTCTGGTCTCTCTCTGGTCTCTGGTCTCTCTCTGGTCTCTCTTTCTGGTCTCTCTTTCTGTTCGCTCTCTTGTCTCTCTCTGGTCTCTCTCTCTAGTCTCTCTCTGGCCTCTCTCTGGCCTCTCTCTGGTTTCTCTCTGGTCTCTCTCTGGTCTCTCTCTAGTCTCTCTCTAGTCTCTCTCTGGTCTCTCTCTGGTCTCTCTCTCTGGTCTCTCTCTCTGATCTCTCTCTCTGGTCTCTCTCTGGTCTCTCTCTGGTCTCTCTCTCAGGTCTCTCTCTGGTCTCTCTCTCTGGTCTCTCTCTGGTCTCTCTCTGGTCTCTCTCTGGTCTCTCTCTGGTCTCTCTCTGGTCTCTCTCTGGTCTCTCTCTAGTCTCTCTCTAGTCTCTCTCTGGTCTCTCTCTGGTCTCTCTCTGGTCTCTCTCTGGTCTCTCTCTGGTCTCTCTCTGGTCTCTCTTTGGTCTCTCTCTGGTCTCTCTCTCTGCTCTCTCTCTCTGGTCTCTCTCTCTGGTCTCTCTGGTCTCTCTCTGGTCTCTCTCTGGTCTCTATGCATCATGGTTTTTAAAAACAAAACCATCACACACAGCCGGAGTCTGCCTCTTGCCTCCAGGACACGTTGCTATGACGCCGAAGCAAAATGTCGGCGTGACACAATCTCGCCGTGGGGGACTGGGGGCGGCCCACGGCGAGATTGTTCCGGAGAGACATGGAAATAGTTGAATGATCCGGAGGCGTCGAACACGAGTGAATGAGGTGGAGGCATGTGAGGACAAACGGCCCAGGAACGTCCTCAGCCCGAGCCAAAAGCAATTAGTTTTAACACTGGATCGGATTCAAAGAGCTCAGACCAGTCACAGAGGGGGCGGGGCTAAAGCGGCTTCTGTCTGAAATACAGCCAGCTCCTCTGCTCTCTCTCTGGTCTCTCTCTCTCTAGTCTCTCTCTTGTCTCTCTCTGGTCTCTCTCCTCTGGTCTCTCTCTCTGGTCTCTCTCTCTCTCTAGTCTCTCTCTGGTCTCTCTCCTCTGGTCTCTCTCTCTGGTCTCTCTCTCTCTCTAGTCTCTCTCTGGTCTCTCTCTGGTCTCTCTCCTCTGGTCTCTCTCTCTGGTCTCAAACTCTGGTCTCTCTATTCTAGTCTCTCCCTCTGGTTACTCTTTCTGGTTACTCTCTCACTGGTCCCTCTCTTTCTGGTCTCTCTTCTAGTCTCTCTCTCTGGCTTCTCTCTTCTACGCTCTCTCTCTGGTCTCTCCCTGATATCTTTTCTGTTGGTGAATCTACCTGTTTTTCTTGGCAAAAAGCGTCCTCCCTATGTTTAGTCAGAATCAGAATCAGAATCAGAATCATTTTTATTGCCACGTGAGTAACAAAGTTATCACTTGGAAATTGTTTTGGCAGAGAGCGTGCCACTTCGCCATTTGCGGCGCTGTGTGCAGCAAGAAACAGCAGAGAGCAATAACATACAGTTCACAGACAATTGGATAGACACATTGTGCTTTTTATAAACCACGGATTTTTTTCTCGGGAAGAGCACCTCTTCGGCCGGCCCAATGTAGCTGTCAGAGGGGGGCGGGATCAGGGAGGGGGTGAGTAGGAAAACAATAAGGAATGGAGGGGAGGGAGGGAGCAAGATGGATAGGTAGAGGGAGGCGGGGGTGGGGGATCCTTGCTGAAGACTGAAATAGTGTGAGTTGTTGTAGATTGTGGGACCTTGTTTATGGCCTTGGCTGAGGAATGTGAGATAAGAGTGGAGAGAAGCCACAGGAGGAGAAAAACACATCGCCTGCAATGTCGCAGTCAAAAGCAGGCAGATATTCTATTAATTCCAATTAAACCGAATTCCGGTGCCCTCAGACCTCCGTACACAGGGGCAAATCCAAGCCGGGTCAGAGAGATCAAGCCTGACAAACAATGTCATTCAATCTCAATTCCAAAGTCTTATGTCCATCAAGTGAACGAGCTGCGAGGTCTTTGATCAACTGTTCCACCAAAACCACCCTTCTTTGTCCAGACACGGCACTCTCAACCACGACACGGCTAAGCTCCTTGTACATCCCATCAATTTTATCGGCCAGCAGGTCGTGAATCTTGCGAACTGCCATGCCTCCGAATTTGTGGTAGAAGAGGATCGCTCCAAACCCAAACAGGAGGATTCCCACCACCAAGATGCCAAAGATATATACGTCTTCCGAATCTTCAATGGACAGGGTCGACAGACAGAGGGGCTGCCACTTGTTCCAGCTGTCAAGAGTATACCCCGCTGGTGAAGTCCCGTCCGGACACACGGGCTCTCCAGACCCACGCTTACGTGTTGAAAAGATAGAATCAATTGCGTTGAGGGACCAATTAATCATTTCCATTCTGTTAAAGTTGTCTGTGGCAAAGCTCCAGGAAAAAAGACAAAAACAGGAGATAGCAAGCCGTTCAGAAGCAGGAGCGGACTAAGACACGTCTTTGCTCGACGGAGGAGGAAGGAGGAGTCCAGTCCCTGTGCTCCTCAGAGTCCCAGCAGGAGTCCAGTCCATGTGCTCCTCAGAGTCCCAGCAGGAGATCAGTCCCTGTGCTCCTGAGAGTCCCAGCAGGAGATCAGTCCCTGTGCTCCTGAGAGTCCCAGCAGGAGTCCAGTCCCTGTGCTCCTGAGAGTCCCAGCAGGAGTCCAGTCCCTGTGCTCCTCAGAGTCCCAGCAGGAGGCCAGTCCCTGTGCTCCTAAGAGTCCCAGCAGGAGACCAGTCCCTGTGCTCCTCAGAGTCCCAGCAGGAGGCCAGTCCCTGTGCTCCTCAGAGTCCCAGCAGGAGACCAGTCCCTGTGCTCCTAAGAGTCCCAGCAGGAGGCTAAAAAGCGGGATAATCTATAGAACGCAGGTCATTATCGTCAACCGGACCCTGTCGCGCAGCAGAAGGTCCTTACTTATGACATAAATGGAGGAGGTTCCCATGGCAACGACAAAGTAAATAAACAAGGGCCAAAGCTTGCCTCCAGGTACAGTTTATGTGATATGTAGAAATCTGAGACGGCAGCTTTGGTCTTGTTGGATAAATGTTATACAACTGCTTCACAAATGATTCATTGAACTTGACGTCTGAACAGGAGAGGTCTGTTTGGGAGATGAGCCCTGGGTCTGGTCACGCTGTATGGGGGCCTAATATAGCCCCCGGGCCACGAGTTGAATACACACACACACACACACACTCCAAGGTCATATGGTCAAAAATATATATATTCTTTCTATGTAATCTATAGTTTTTTGTCTTGTTCAAAACCTACGAGAGACACACATGAGCGACTTCTTCACACATTCAGTCCTGACTTGACTTAGATCAACAGAAGAGTTTAAAGCCGTTATATATTTGGAATTATAGAAGATTTGAAGAAGTCGGTACATGCAGTTCCAATGTTGACCACATGAGGGCAGCCAAAGATGTACACAGAAGGCTCCACTGAGGGTTTGAACGTCACAAAGTCAAGAAGAAGCAACATATGAAACATTCACACACATTTAAACCCACAATAAAAACATGTGGTTGAATGTGAGCTTGACTGACTTTTTTTTCCAAACCTGGGCTGACAAAATACTGCTTCCTCCTGAGTATTTGTAGATGTAGAAAGTAGATATTCTCCAGATCATGTGTAAAGCTTCATCCTCACGTCCTGCTCTGGGCTCAGGTTTCTCTAAATGTTGTTTCACCTGGATATTTCTACAGTTGTCATTG